ATGGTCACATGTGATTTGCAACCTTCCCAGCTGGCTTTTGACAAGCAAAATCATTAGGGGAAACCAGATTCACCTAATAACTGCGTAATTCAATTAACGACTGTAGTAATTCACTTAACAAATTTGGATGGGGATCATAAAATCAATCACCTAACAACCACCTTGCTTAGCTATGGAAATCATTTTGAAAAATTGCTGAAATCTCATGAGATAATTAAATCTTATGAGATAGTTAAATCTTATAACATGTTGACACTTTTAACCTTCTAGCATTTTGCTGTTCTCACTAAAATCTTAGTTGACTTAATGACGATTTGCAAAAACTTTCAGTTGTAGTAGTCCACACATTAAAAAAATGAGACTGTCAGTTACTGGTCTAGTAGTTTCTAGCAAGTAGTAGCAATTCCATGAACTCATTAAAAGAAACAAAAAATAGAAACAAGCATAACTGTAGAAACTGTATCAAGAACAAATACTACCAGTTACACAAGCAAGTTCCTCATTCAAACCCACATCATCTTCAATGTTCAAAATGTTATATAAAGCTAAACTATTTGGTATTTCTGAAGCATAAAGTAATAAGTAGTCAAGGTAATTTATGCTCCAGTCAGATGTTTATGGAGAACAGAAAAGAGTTGTGATTATTTCAGAGACCAGTACATTAATGTAGATAAAGGCTAAAAATTGTGTGGAGGAGAAATTGAAACATGCTTATAATCAACAGTATGATCTCTAGCACCATCCAATATATTGAGCCAAATAGAGATAAAGAGCCAGAGCACATGGGTTTTCTGTGCTGGTGGGAATTCAGCTGCTCTTCTGATTAAGCACTCTCTGAAAGAACTGAGAAGAATGTAAGAGACAAAGCTGGAAAATACAGTTGTCTTGATCTATTTTTTTTCTCTATGTGTTGATTACACTTTTGAAGGAGCGTGGACTGCAACCAGCCCTTCATTCATTTTCCAAATTGTATTTTCTCTCTAATAATCAATGATGCTATTTTTGCTTATGCATGCTGACAGTTGAAGCTGAATCGACATGATATGAAAAGATGTGACTTTCATAGCAAATATTAATATCTTCCAGAAGAGTCCAGATGAAAGCACCAAACAGTTGATGATGAAATCAAAACTGGAACCATACATTTGAGAAATTCAGATCAGTCCAGTAAATCCAACAGTTCAGAGTCATATTAGACCCTGCTAACTACTTAAGATACTTAATAGAATCTGAAAGGAATGTGAAGTACTCTGGGTCACCCAGGTGGGGCAATATATAATACACTACCTGAATACCCATGCTCCGCTACAAAACTATGTGATTGGGCTTGATAAATCGACACTTACAGCTTGAAAATTAATAAGTAGTTACCATAGATCTCTCCTCTCCCCTTCTCTCCCTCAGTCTTGCCCCACAGAAACCTCCCCTCTCTTATCACATTCTCTCTCTCAGGTTTGCCCAATGAAGCCCCACCTATCTTATCAACTTGTCTCTCTTAGGCTCCTTTCCAAACTCCCAGCCAGCAGGCCAGACGAGTCAGGCGCTGGCCACGTCCATATCCAAGTTTTCAGGTTCGGAGGGTGAGTAGAACGTCTAACTCCTTAGCATCAAAGTGTGTTAATAATAATATAATAAATACTAATGTTCTAATGGTCATTTCGAAAAATCCTTTGTTACCAAGCACCTAGAAGCCAAGAGGAATATACATGCCAAATTTCAGGTTAGTAGGATTTATAGTTCTGGAGATTTCATGATTCCTATGTGAGTGCTTTGCTCTGTATTACTTGGAGTTCTCAAATTCCAGCAAATGCCTCAAATTACACAAAGCTATTTCTCCACTGATAAGTACTACATGAAAAAAAACTATTTTTCTTGGAATGCTATGTATGATTGCTTAGCTGTATCAGAGCAACAGAATGTGAGTTGAATTATATGTTCCTCACATTATCTATTCATAAAAGAATCTGAAATACCATTTGTAGTAGAATAGCTGCAAAAGTGAGATACTTAAATACATTTATAAACAAGTTGAAAAGTTGTATGTAGGCAATAGTCTTCCAAAAATTCCAGGGATAGTAATTATTGAACTTCAATGGAAGACAATAGCATATACTGAGGATTTGGTACCTAGAGTACAGCATTACATACACCATTTTTGCACAAAAGTTTTATATATATATATATATATATGTATGTATGTATGTATGTATGTATGTATGTATGTATGTATGTATGCATGCATGCATACATATATATACACACACACACATACACACACACACACACACAATTGAAGCAAAGATACTGATTATCTTCCTCTATTTTTGGGAGGGAGGGCATTTCATGCATTGCAATAGCTCTTCCACTTGGGACCGGACTTTTTTTAATGGGCAGTGCCAAAATTCTGCATAAGTTATTATGTGAAAGTGAAATTTTCACATAATACTCACATCAAGTGAGTATTTTTTAATACTGATTATATAAACCTATATTAGTGAAAATGTTATGTTGTATTCTTTGTGTAGATTATTAAATGATACTAATATTTTGATCCTTATGATCTTTATACTTATTCACATAAATAACATCTTCTAAATTAAAAATTATTCAACATCAATTAACTTTTTTTAACACAAAAATTTCTAATTTAACTGGTTGCAACATCATGCACACAAAGCTACCTACAGCTATAGAAATAGGGTGTTTCAAGACAGAGAGAGCGCTCTATGACCAGAGGGAGAATTCCTGTGACAAAACAACTTAATATTACCGTTTCAATTTCAGCATAAAGATGAGTTGTGAATCAATATGAATTTGATAACAGAATAATTGGCATTATCTTGCATATTGTATTCAATGCCATAGCTATTGTTATCTGCCAGATGGACATAAGTTGTCAGTGTACTTTAATGTGTTCCTAGCTTTCAGGAAATGCAACATACAGCTCCATCACAATATCTTTAGAGATATTCTCTAAAGCTGAAGCTGAATCTCCAAGATGGGGAAACTCAGATTGTGATGGAGCTGTATGTTGCATACTGACATGCTTGCCTAATAGATAGAAGATATCATGTGGTCATCTAAATAGACAGAAAGTGCTAGATTCATGTTAGCAGTTGTGATATACATTGGTACTATTGATGTGAAGAATGTAATTGTAAAGTCCTAGAAGGGTTCATAAAGTTGGATAGATTTCAGGGGGTCTGTGAACTTAGATGGGAATAATTATAATTTGATTTTCATGAACTGCAATCTTAAATTTAGTCTGTCTTGTTAATGATTTAAATGGATGACTAAAGTACACGTTAGTACATTAAAGGTAAAGTTTCCCCTTGCACATATGTGCTAGTCGTTCCCGACTCTAGGGGGTGGTGCTCATCTCTGTCTCAAAGCCGAAGAGCCAACGCTGTCTGAAGAAATCTCCATGGTCATGTGCCTACCATGACTAAACACCAAAGGCGCACAGAACACTGTTACCTTCCCACCAAAGATGGCTCCTGTTTTTCTACTTGCTTTTTTTTTAACATGGTTTTGAATTGGTAGGTTGGCAGAAGCTGTGACAAATAATGGGAGCACACTCTATTACACGGTGCTAGGGATTTGAACCGCCGAACTTTCTGATTGACAAGCTCAGCGTCTTAGCCAGTGAGCCACCGCGTCCCTTATGTTACTACATTACATATCTGCTATTAATATTTATTGTATTTGACTATTATTCGTTTCTTTGTTAATGCAACCTATAGTTATATATTTTATTTTTTGCATTGAAATACGTTTTTCTGAGGAGTTTATAGGTTTTACCAAACCCTCAAAGAGACACAACAGCACAAAAAGGATAGGAACGAAGTCACAGATATTAAAAAGTTTTAAATCAATCCTTTAAGATAAGGTGGTTCTCTCAACACCACTGGTTTCATGTGCAAGGCCAGTTAAAAAGATGAAACTCAGGACTTTATGTCCTGCTTGTGGGGCTTCCATAGTTGGCTACTGCAACAACATAACATTACATTAAATTGGCCTTTCATACAATCCAGTATGATTCCTTTAATGTTTTTATTCATCAAAATCCCTTTCCAATTGAGGTTAGATAAATGTTGACCCAACTCTCTTCCTATGATAAGTGGGATTACATCTGATACACATAAGGTGTTATTCTGTAATAGATCTAACTGAATAAAAGCCATCACTGCAATAATTTTTCTCCTTATTTCTCTCTCTTTAGTCTCCATTTTCCTAGCCATATTTGTAAGTTACAGATGAAGTCGCTTTCTTCCATAAGCAGTATTTTCTCTCTCTTCTCTGATCTGCAACCGCCACTCCATCCACCTTGAAAATCTTCCCTCTAAATCCCCCCCGCCCTTTTGGAAGCAAATGCCAACTCCTTAGAGCCTTATTTAGCCTTGTTTTTCCCTTTGGGGAAAAGGGAGATACAAACAAAGGCAGTTCTCAACTGCTACAGCTGAAAGTCCATTTAAAATCACTGATCCAGAATTATCTAAAAATGAAAGTAAAGGATGAGTAAAGCCAGCTGTCCCAGAGACGACTGCAAACAGATGTCTTTAAGCAGCTTTTTCTTCTGGCAGCCTTCTGGGAGAAGACTTCAGGAACATGTAGCCTTTCTAAATATTATTAGTGCTGGGGTAGCAATCTGGGCTTTTGGATACATTTTTGTCCCTCATTTGTGCATACATTTTAATTTCTGTTGTACAAAGTGTTTAGCACAAAATATAATATCTGATTGCAGTAATATAGTTCATTAAATTAAATTAAGCCTTGTGGTATTTATCCAATCTGGAAACACAGAACAGTTATTTGAAATATTTTATCTGGATCCTTGGCAATAGGAGAACACCAAACATAGAAACATGGCTTGCAAAACTAATACCCCCAAAATTTATTGCATTGGCCTTTGTTTTTTTTTCTTTTGAATGCAAACATAAATAACGATGACTAGTCGGAGACAAAACTCACTCACATCAGTCTACAATTCAATATAGTACCTGACATTCTTTGCTGCTCCTGTGAAAAGTCAATGCCTTCGCCAATGGAACTCATAATTTTCTCGATCTGAAAAATATATTAAACATTAGTAAACATTTTTTCACAAAAAAAAATGTAACTGGAGTAGAGAAAATTTTAATTGCAAAAGAAAAGTCATTTGTTCAAGAGAAACTGTTTTATGTCATCTTCAAAAATAATGTTATGTCTTTCCAAACTAACTACTAAATTCCCATTTATGATTTGGTTAAAAACATGAATGGAATAATCATTTTGAATGTTCAAAATATATAATCCTTCTTCTACTTACAAAGAACACACTATTACAGCTAAGGTGAGATTTCAAGGCACAGATCCCAATACCAAGTTGCTTCAACTAAAAGCTTGAAAAAGCATTAACATAAATTGTAACAAATGTACAAAAAGTAGCAGAGTTGTTGGAAGTTGAGCAGCAAAGAAATGCAATAATAAGTGAAAGTAAAATTTAAAAATGAGCATATTGGGGAATATTTCAATAATCAAGAAGAGAAAGACCATTCGAGTCAGATTGAATAAACTGCGGGATCATCTAGAAGTTTCCAACCATTAAGTACTCAAAAAAAAAAAAAAAAAAGGGAAACAGTAGTTAGAATGGTTTTTAAATAAGACTATTAAAAAATTAGGAAAGTACTTTCATAGGTAGTCTTGAAAGCCAAGGACCTCCCACGGAATCTAATGTAAACCAATGAAAGAATTGTACCACATCAATTGCATGCTCAGAAATTTTCAAATATTCTCTGTTTGGTTAAAATACAATATTGTACCTGCCATTGTAAGGATGGTATAAAGTGCAAATTAGGGGAAAGAAATAAAAATAATACACAAGATTGCAATATATAATTGTTTAATTTGTCAAGTTAAGGTGCACTTTAATAACAGTAGAAACTAGAGGTTTGTTTCTTTGATGCAAAAAGCTATATGGAAAAGGAAAACTACATTTGGAAATACACCTTCCGGATAAGGCTTGAGATTAAATTGGAATTATTTCTAATAATCACAGTCCTACGGACCTCAAACCTTTTTTCTTTCAAACCTGCCCCTTTCATCTCAAAATGTAGCTTCTAAGCATTTTGGGACAGAGCCACTATGTCTTTTACTTATCTCTCTTTCTCTCTCTCTCTCTCAACTTGATTCTACAAAGCAACAATACTAAGCACAAAATCAGAATTAAGTGGATCTCGCAGAGGTTTAGAAAAAAGCTTGATTTCTACCACATGAAATGCTGCAAGCATCTAATGTCACAGAACCCTCATAACTAGTGAAGAAAATACACCAACACAAAGAAAGCACAAATTAATTGCACAACTAAGCAACCGTAGCACCAGACTGGTTTCCAGCAGAACAAAGCTTTGCGAGTTTCTTACATTGTAGAAAGACTGAACTTCGGAGTCATCAGGCACTTGCTCCTGAAACTGCTGGGAAAGAGCAAAACATGTTTTCCAAAGAATTCAATCAAATGAAATATAATTCTATTTAAGAGAAAAAAATAAAACAAGGGGCAAGAAGAGTTTTCCATAATTTCACATTTAAAAAAAAGTTTTATTTGCTTCATTCCAAGCACTTTCCTGATCTTAAATCCTCATTCTTCTGGCTTAGACGTAATTTGAATGTCACAGTTGGCTGACTTCACACTCATCTATTCAACAACATAGTTTACACATTATACCAAACCAACCCACACCATATTATATTTTAACAAGATGCAATTACATTTATCCACATTGCCATGGTTTGCCTTACAAAGTAGAGTATGCAACTATGGCAGTACAGTAATAGAAATAGATTGCAAAAGATAAAGACATTTCTTTCTCAGCTTGATGGTAACAAATGTAATCTAGTTTCTACCAGAATTGAAGACTTGCTTCGTGGACAGAGTGAGAAACTTTGATGACAGCTTATCAGGAGGTCTTTTGTGGACTCTATATGGTGTTTATACAGATGTAAATAAATTTACATACATGGACTTCCTCATGAGTCTAGAATTTATCCTCATTCTCTTATTCTCACTTTCTGCACAAATATATTTGCTGGCCTACATGTATACTGTATTCTGTCAAATTTCATAGTTTTAACTTAAAAGTACAATGATACTTGTACTTTCTGATAGCTGATATTGAGATTTGGATCCAAAATTTGTGAACTGATTTATTAATCAAACTAGAATTTCTTTCCTTTGTCTCTTTATTGAAGCTTGAAATACTGATTTTGTACAGTCTTCCCAAATCTCATGCATTCCAAAACTGTTGGGCTTTAATTGCCCAGTCAGCCTTACTAAAATAGTGTCAAGATTACAAATTGAGGTAGACCGGATAGAAAATATAAAGCCTAACTTGTGCAAATTGAAATGCTTTTTTTTAAACTCATGCCAAATACATTTGGAAGCAAGACAAATGTCTATGTAGATTCGAAGTTATCCAGGTCGTGGTTGTCCCAAAAATGCTTTTTCAAAAGGTAACTGGACTTCTTTTGTTTTCTTCCCTTGATGTTTTAGCTTCTCATCCAAGATCCTCATCCTCATCTTTGGAACTTTCAGCAGTTCCAAGAAGGTTCCACATCCCTTTGTACTCTTCAAATGACTCTGAGGGCACAGATAAGCTCCCAAGTGGCCTCAATGACTCTCAGAGAGAGTGCTAATGACCAGATGACTGCAAGGAATATTAATCCTTCCATTCTCCACCATTCAGTCAAAACTGAAGAAGCTTCTTGGATAAGAAGCAAAACATCTTCAAGGGAAAAAACAAAGAAACCCAAGTTGCCTTTTGAGAAAGCAGCTTTGGGACAAGCAAGCATTTTTCTTATGCAAACTATATTAATTACATGTTAATAGTTCAAATGAGAGTTATTAAAATTTTAACCTTCCATTAAAGACATATTTTACTTCATTTTTAAATTACATAAAAATATTATAATGTTGTAAAGCACTTGAAAATGACAAGGCAGTAAAACTATGTTTAAATAAATACTCTCAGTTTAAGTAGCACAATAATAGTAGTAACTGAAAGAGGCAAAATAAGATTATCGTAACTGAAAAACCTTGTGAAACCTCAAAATGTTGTGGAACCCCATTTCTTTAGTCCGTAGCCAACTTGAGACATTTTTTTTAAATAATTCATTCTGATGTCTCTGACATTCATCATTCTTAAGGGCATTTCAAGGAGGCAGGCAAAGAAAGGCATAGATTTACAAACATTAGGTAAACTTAAGGCCTTTTTATGCAGAGACGTTTTTAGCTGATTTTAAAGGTCCAAGTAAATAGTTCATTTTGGTAAAAGTAACAGCTCTGATCTTCTGTCTATTTGATAAATCCTATTATGTATCCTGAACATGCAAGCTCTGCAGCATTTAAATCTAAAAAAAAATCCATTGATTTACAACAGCTGTGCTCTTCCTTTTGTTGAAATATGGCCACTTGCCAAAAGGCTTCATTCAACGCCATCACCCGCCCATCCACAGAAAAAAAGAAAGAAAGAAAATGAAGAAGCTTGATACTCTCTTTGCTGGAAAATAATCTGCCATATTAGTTAATATATTTTGGAATTTTTTTTCTATTTTATTTCCCTCATTAAATAGTTACCAGTCCTTCTTAATTTGTTTCAGAGGTGTTTTTGGACTAGAACATATACTGATGAACTTCTATGAAGTAAAAAGCATAGCATTTCCTCTTTCAGCAGGTTAATTTAATTTTGATGTAATAATTGGAAAAGCAAAAAAGCAACATTCCTCCTGTTTGTTGTTTCAACCAAAACTCAAATGGGCCCTCTTCTGGTCAATGAACTTCCATTAACACCTAAGGTTAAAAGGTAACTATCCCCTTAACACACAAGCTATATACTTACAAGAAAACTCCTTCCTTGTAAGTACATATACAGCATTTTAAAAATTTGCAACAGGCCTGAGATGTGACACAGAACCCATGGTCCCTGATCACTAGCAATCCAATTAACAATATATGATATTTATCCAGCTATCATTTTCAATCTATTATCATGCCATAAGAACAAGGAACAGAACTCTGTGCCAACTATGATACACTCTCTCTCTCGGTATATGTTTGTGTGCATCCTTGTGGGTATATGTGTGTGTGAGAGAGAAAACTGTCAAGATGTAAACAATACATAGTATCAATCTGTGGACAGGATACTTCCCAATCAATACCAACTGGCCTTGGCCTTGAATGAAGGAGGCACACCTGCCCATTCTCAATTCTCTGAGCCAATCCAGAAGAATATCATGGTCAATGCTATCAAAAACAATTGAGAGGTAAAGTAGGGCAAGGATAGATGCACTTATCCCAATCCTGCCAAAACACTAGAATATAAATTGAGAGCAAATTCCATTCCTTGCTAGCACTGATGATATTATCTAGTTTGGGTAATGAAGTGTCTGCAAGAAAACCACCAAGCTCAGAGACTACAAATGACCCCTCACTCTTTTGGCCAATTTAATTTAGTAGTTCTCATATCTATGGGCCTTGTTTAAGCATTACTGAAAAAGTTACAAAAAATTGTATTACATATGTGCATAAGGAATATATAAGAACTATGTTCTGTATAGATCAGTGGTGGGATTCAAATTTTTTTTTACTACCGGTTCTGTGGGAGTGGCTTGGTGGGAGTGGCTTGGTGGGCGTGGCAGGACGAGGATACTGTAAAATCTCATTCCCACCCCACTCCAGAGGAAGGTTACTGCAAAATCTCCATTCTGTGCAGTGTGTTCAAATCAGGGAAATGGTTTCTAGGAAAATCAGAATTATTTTAGGAAAGGCAGAATTATTCATCTGAAGAATAAGACAAAAATATTTAAAGAACCATACTTTATCTCTATATTAACTAAAAAAACCAACACCCCAATAGTCAACGTAATTGCTTTGAGGGATGTTTAATATAGGACATAAAAGGAACAGTTTTCTTAAAGGAGGTGTTTTCCCTATTCTACCATGAGATGGCAATGTTTATTAGCCAACTTTGAATTTATTATAGTAAAGCCATTGTCGGTTGATCTATAGAAGAAAAACAATGAATATATTTTGTCTTTTTAAGGAACTTTCTATTTATTTTATTGATCACAGCTATTGGCATCAATCAATCAATACAATAGATTAGATTTCTACTTTATATTCTACAAATGATTTCTGCTTTATATTCAATTGTATTACAAGACTAATAAAAATTCTAAAAACTATTATCAGAAAATTTGATAAAAGACATAATGATCTGTGTAATAGCTGAAATTGATAAAGAGCTAATATTAAAGAAAAGATTGTACTTTCACTAGCTAAATGATATGGTATAATATGTCAGGTGTATTTATCTACTTTTAAGAACTGCTAAGAAGCAGATAATTTTTACTATGTCCTGATACATAAAACCATAGAATTCAAAGAGGGTATGCTTTCTTTTTCACATGACTGTATTTAAAAGGAATCTAAGAATTCAGAGTTAAAATAAGTGCAATGGATTCACTGGCTTTAAATGTACTGTAGAGTTTTCTCTATCAAATAAATGAAACTTAAAAACATCTGTCTGTCTGTCTGTCTGTCTGTCTGTCTGTCTGTCTATCTATCTATCTATCTATCTATCTATCTATCTATCTAT